ACACGTTTGTAAACAAAACAAGAAATGTCAAAGCGTGAAAGCTTTGGTTGAACTAAATACAAAGCACGGCGAATTTAAGAACACACGAAAACACAAAGCACAGAAATTACACCCAGGCGAACAACAGCAGCAAAAGACAAGTATCAAAAATACCAACGGCAAATGTACCGATGCGCTACAGGAAAAGCTTCGGTCATTTGAGTATAAATAAACGCGCATTGTACAAGCAAGGGCACTTGTTGGGAAACTCTCAAAGGTAGTAATACGTCTTTGCGAAACAAGTCAGTAGAACTATAGTGTCAAGGTAGTATATACGTCTTGACAAGTAGATTGTATATGTAGTCTTATATGTAAATCAAGCCAAGGTAGTCATGATACATCTTGACTAGTAGGATTTTCTGTAGGTTTGAGTTAGGGCAGTAATACGTCCTAACATTAATGAATGCAAACCAAGGCTGTAACCCAGCATAACACTTTTAATCTCCAGTTAACGACGTCTTCTGACAAAACACCAAGATTAGCACAAGTAGTGTCGTCTGACAGCAACATTTCAGGCACATGGAAACAATAATCGGAACAATCATCGAAGCACAATTATTCCAAATAATCGTAGTCATCAAATTAGCAAACCATATTATATTATAATTATATTAGATTGTAAAACCTTATTTTATTTTAAATTCTCCTAAATAAATAATTGAATTACTACATCACATTGTCTTTGACTTTCAAAATAAAAATTCTATTGCAACGACCCCTGGACGACGGCTGAGTATACCTCAGCATCATCAGCGACAGAAAGTGTGTCGTTACAGTACTGAAATAAAACTTGCCGAAGCACCAGTGGTTAACTATACATCCTATTTTTCAAAAAATAGAGTGTATTCAATAAAATCACAAGTCGTATGTGTCTATCAGCTGAAGATTCGACATGTCGCAGTTGGTCACTTTGGAAGTCCATATGATGCTCGCATGTTTCGTACAAGCGATCTCTGCATTCAAGAAAATTTTTTATTTTCTTCAAAACAATGGTTAGCAGGCGATTCTGCTTATCCATTACTTAAAACTCTTATAACTCCGTTTCGGTCAAACTTCCAACAGCTTGACTACCACAAACGTAAAACTTTTAACTTACGCCATAGCAGATTTCGTGAAAGGATTGACCATTGTTTTGGACTTCTGAAGGAACGCTTCGGTAGTCTTAAGGAGTTAAGAATCCGTATTCAGAATGATACGAGTCATAATTTTTGTTCAAATTGGTTCCTTGTTTGTTGCATATTGCACAACATTTTGCGACCTTCATGTGATGATACGCAACACGTGGATTATGTACATGACAACGATGAAGAATCTGATGAGCTTAAGCAGAATGAAGCTAGTCAGAGAACCAATGATGGAGCTTCGAAGCCCAAATTTTTGTATAATTTAATGTTCAGCAATCAATAATTTTCGAGTACAAATATATAAAACATACATATATGTATATGTATTTAATATATAATTAAGAAGTCAATTGCAACATTACTTTTTTCCAGTAGGTTTATTGCAAGACAATAATAATGTATAAAACGTAATATATATATTAATATATTAGTTTTTTATATATATACCGGGCTTAGGTCGTTTATTTAACACATAGGTTTATAAAAATGTTTTTTTAAAACAATTAAAAAATTTTTACACTTTTTTCCAATTGTGTTAAATGTTTAAATTTATTTAATTTTTATACAAAAATTATATTAATACAATTATTTCGGTCTACATCGTAGACCATCTTCAGTGTATATAAAAGATTACATATTTAATTATATGTAAATAAACATATAAACATACAATCAAAACAAAAAACCAAAAATGACAAACATTGTTGTCTCTTTCAATGTTTGACATTTTTAACATTTAAATTTATTTGAACAAAAGCAAAACGTTAATTTAAAAAAAAAAAAAAACAATAAAATTTAAAATTAAAATCAAAAATAAATATACGAAAATATTTTTTAATTGGTAACAATTGGAAATTAATTGGAAAATATTTTTAAATATCGGTCATAATACCAATTTATTATATTAATATATGTAATAATAATATAATATAAAAATAATTAGGTTAATAAAAATGTAACTAATTCTTAATTTATCATTGTTATTTGCTATATTTCTTATCGAGGGGGTAGTGGGGCTTTGCGCAGCAGAACGCACGACTTTCGGTGCAGAGCTGGATGATGTGTTGTCTGCAGACGATTCAATAAAATAAACTTCGTCGCCTAGCGCAGAACTAGCTGGTGACTGTGACAATGTGTCCGTACATATCACAAGCGGCTGAAAATTAGACATGCGTCCAAACACTTCATTCAATAGTTCAAAATGTGGACAAATTTTCGTATATTAATGGCCACATCGTTTTAAATCATTGAACGAAACGCATGTATATAGCATAGCCATAGATTAACATATCTCGAAATTTTACTAACCGTCAATTCAAATTTAAAAATGAGAAGCAACAGCTGATTTCTGCCATTTCTGTTTTGTTGCAAGCAAACATACATAGGTTTTAGTATTGAAAGATTGCACGCAATTGCACGAAATTTTGTGCTTGTATTTTGTTGTTGTTATTTGCATTCTCGTACAATCAGTGCATTTCGTGCACCTTGCAATTAGTTTGCAAGAGAGAGTGAATACCCCTAATAAATCGTAAAACGTATGCGATAGTTCTTTCTAGTTTCGATATTTTTGATATTTTCTCTATCCAATCGCTCAAAAAATTATTACCTGAAATTAAAGTCGTGATAATTGTTGACATTCCATTTAACTTTTCATCATTTGGCCATTCTTCCATTGGTTTTACTAACCACGCAGGCCCACGACACCATAGCATGTAATCTTTTAATTTCTTTGCACAGATTCCTCTAGATGCTACATCAGCTGGATTATCTTATGATCTTATATGAAGCCATTCAGTTTCTGGAATTAAATTTTTAATTTCTGTTGCTCGAGTTCTTACAAATTTCTCTTTGTTTTTCGGTTCTCTTAGCCACCATAACGTGATTGCAGAATCGCTCCAACAATAAGTTTATGGATTTGTGCTTAAAAATTTAATTATTTTACTCATGTTTTGCTAATAAATGAGCTTTACATAGTTTTTGCTTGGTGAACAAGAATGTTCATTAACAATCTTTATGTCCCTTACCACTGGTGGGGGGAAACAATAAAAGATTGGTGAGACGTTGATTTACTTTCAAAAACTGATTTTATTTAAATTGATTTGTTCTTTTATACAAAATAAAATGCAACCGTAATTGCAAAACATACAATAAATAAAATAGCTTATTACTTAATTCGCACAAATTGCTTAATAAGCAATAGTTGCGAATGCTTTACTTATGACCCAATTTTTACTTTTTGTTGATTCGTCAACCAAGAAATTAAGCAACAGGTGTGAGCGATTAACTCATGACCTAGTTCTTAATTTTTTGCTGATTCGTCAACATTATGCCGGCTCTGCGTTGGTATTACGAGTTGGTCTAGATTTGGTAGCCTCAGCAGGTTGTTGTTTATGTGCAAGACCAAGCGACATCGTAAGTGGACGGTGATGTATGATTATTGGCTGATGTTGATGGTATTCTCGGTTTAATATAACACATGTAATATAATACTCCAACGGATATGATTATTATCATAGCTGTAGCCCCGATGACCCATTTCTTCCAATATTGATGAGTCATTATTGTTTTCCAAGATATTTCGTTGACTTGGTCCATGTTGTCTTGAGCATCCCTTGCGGAGTACAAAAGCATAGTTGATAAATCTTGCACCAATGGGATAACGGTTTCATTTGTAATTTTATGCATTCTACTGTCAGGTATTGAAATGTTTTGCATGCTGATTGGTTTAACGTGGTGTGTGATTGATTGAAATTCTTTCATCATTCTTCCTTCCAGTTGAATAGTCTTAGAATGTATTACACAATCTGGAGAGATATGAATGATTCCCGTTGATAAGAACGCGTTTGTTCTTATTAAATTACAAATTGTTGTATCAACCAAGTATGATAAGAACTTGTTTGTTCTTATTTGAGCCGCAAATAGTTATATCAAGCTTCCAACACGCACATGAACGTGTTGGATGATATATTTTAGTATTTTGTTTAACTGGTCGAAAACTGCCGAGCACATAAACTCGTAGGTTGCCTTATTGTTCTGTTTGAAAATGAATACTCCAATTATTTTGTACGTATTTTAATCTTTATTTATTTTTATTAATTTTAGACATGTGTTGTTAATTTTAGACATGTGTTGTTACCCGATTCACGATTCAAAACCAAAAAGGAAGTCTTTTAGCTTAAACCCAACACAGAAGCTGCTCTCATGTCCCTAATCAAGCTTAAAGCTTACTACATTCTCCTTTTGTTGCCAAACAGCTGATTAATAGTGTTTGACAACGTTAAGTAGATGAAGTCTTTTATGTAGATATGACAACCAAGATTTTACTTTAAGGAGATTTAACATCCTCCCCCGCGTTGAATTATTTGAATAATTTAACTAAAAGTACGATAAAATGCATGCCTGCAATTGATATGGCATAACTGCACCTTAATTTTAAATAAACAAGTTGATCTAGGTCATGAGAGCTTGTTTCTGTGTTGTTTTTTTTGCTTGTTTACATCTTAAATTGCACATGATTTTCAACTGTCAAAATAGAAGCATTAGAAAGCATTGTTAACATTTTTTGTTATTAAGTTTAAGAACAATTAAAAGTTTCATATGTGAATTTTAATAATTTCAATTAGTTACAATTAATTTATTGGTTAGTAATTCAAAAATTTTGAATGTATTTATAAAATTTAAATTTAAATTTATAAGTGAATTTAAGCCATAGTAAATATTACGTTGATGACTCATAGACTGAAGTACATCGCTGGACGCCTCATCAGATAACTGTGTACTTATATTATTTAAAAATTTTACATCATGTTTTGTCTTCCCCAGATTTTTGGTGTGAGATCAGCAGTTGCTCGATCGTTTGGATACCTTCGAATTGCGTCCGAAATGATTGATACTACTAACCGATGAATTTGGTACCTGTATAGGCCTTTTTGATGCTGTCACTTGTTGCTTTGTTGCTTCTTTTGGTTGTATTGGTGGTATCTTGTCATCTTCACTGTCGTTGGTTTCAGAAAAAAGTGGAGCCAAATTATGTATGGCACGTCTCACAATACCTGATGCTGTTTTAACATCGACCACACGTACCATTCCGTCAGTACCCTTATGTATATTGGTTACTCGACCCAATGCCCACTGAAGAGGAGGTAAATTTCCATCCTTCATGATGACTAAAGTGTTTTCTTGCAAATTTTTGGATTCTTCTCGCCATTTACGTCGGTATTGTAGCTCATTTAGATATTCAGAGTTCCACCGTCTCCAGAATTCATGTTTTATGTGGGACACCAATTTCCACCTCGTTAGTAATGATGTCTTTAAATTTGTTGTGGTTGTACTTGCTGGTGCTGTAAGAGCTTCACCAATTAGAAAGTGGCCTGGCGTAAGTGCTTCAAAGTCATTTGGATCATTCGACATTGGAGTAATCGGTCTTGAATTTAAAATCGCCTCTATTTCAATAACAACTGTTTCTAACTCTTCGTACGTTAAGGATTCTGTGGCAACGCTGCGCACAAGTAAATGTTTCGCCGACTTCACTGCTGCTTCCCAGAGTCCTCCGAAGTGAGGCGTACGAGGAGGAATGAAGTTAAATTTAATACCTTTTTTGCTGCACGCTCTTTCAATTACTTCTCCTGATTTTTTTGAGTAAATTAGTTCTACTAGTTCATTCAGTTTGTTATTGGCTCCAACAAAATTAGTTGCATTGTCACAAAATAGATTTTGGCAATGCCCACGCCTCGCAACAAAACGTTTAACTGATCCAATAAATGCGTCGGTAGTTAGGTCACTTACCAGCTCCAAATGTACTGCCTTGGTGCCAAAACAACAGAAAACAGCAATATATGCCTTGTGCGGTCGCTTTCCTCTTACTTTGTAGTGTACCCAAATTGGTCCACAAAAATCGACTCCTGTGTTAAGAAATGGTCTAGTTGGATGGACTCGAGCATGTGGAAGATTTCCCATGATTTGATTGAAAGTTACAGGTCTACACCTTGTACAACGAATACAGTGTTGCACGATGGACCGTGCCATTACCTTCCCCTTGATCGGCCAAAATTTTTGCCGTGTCGCTGCCAATAATGCTTGGCCACCGCAATGCATGTTTTCTTCGTGAATTTTCTTCATTAATAG